ATAAGCATCGATATTAAACATAATTTATTTGTCAATTTCAACTTTTGAAATGTTATTTTTATTTGATATATTATTTTATAATCTTAATAGTTATCTTTATGGTGATAGATACTATTAAATTAAAAATATATAGTCTATGTCATGACCTTCCCTACATTCCAATAAAAACGATGTAATACTTATCATGACTTCGGATCTAATTTGACCTTGATTTTAAATTCAGTATCATTTTCATAGTACAAACAAAATAAAGTTTAACTAAAATAATTCTTTAATTGAAACTCATCAATGAGTTTCTCTTTACTTTTTTTTTTTTTATTTTAAATTAAATTTTTCATTGCGTGATATCACGCTAATATACATACGGCACAACATCACACCACACAATAAAGACAAAATAAAACCATTAATATTTAGAAAACAAAAAAAAAACAATGAGAACATATGACTTAAATACAACATTAAAAGTACATCAGAGAAAAGAAACAAAAGAAAAGATTGAAATCATATCATTTATATAAATATATATATATATATGTATATACACACACACACACCAAACAACAACAGCAACAAGGAAAAGAAAAGAAATTTAATAATTCTTATGTAAATAAAGCTACTCTATCTATTCATAGACATAACATTCTTAATTAATTTACATGAAAGAGATAAACAAAATAAATACTAACTACTATGAAACAAGTAATTCGCGACTTGAACTTAATGAATTCGTTCGACTTTTATTTGTATTTGATGTTGTTGTTGTTGCGATTATTGGTGATGATGATGATTCAGTAGCTAAATCAAGTGATTGTGTTGAATTCGATCGATGAGGTGATTTCGATACTGTTGATGTTTCTTCAAAAAATGTATTTATTAAATCATTATTTTCAAATAATGGAGATGTATCTGTGCTTCGTGGTAATGTTTTAACACGTTTATTTGTTAAATTTAATTCATTATTACAACGACTATTTATTAATTCTGACGGTTGATAAAATTCATCTGTTGGTGATGAACGTTTTAATGTTATACTATTTGGACGTAATAATTTTGATGGTAATGATGTATGTTGTGGTTGAGGTGATTCAACAGATAGATTAGCTATACCAGATGATGGTGATAATAATGATTGTGGTCTATGTGTATTAACCAAATCAAAATTAAAACCTTTTGGACGTGTTAAAATTTTTGGTTGATCATTATTATGTTCACGTTTAAGAGAACTACTACCTTCAACTTGTATAAAACGACGACGATCATTTAAAGGTGGTTCTATGGTTATACATTTTACTATTGGTGTTGTTGTTGATATTTTTGTTGATGATGGTAAACTACGTTCATATTCAGATAATTGACCCATAAAATTAAAATTCGGTGATATATGTGATCGACGTGCTTTTATATATCGATAAGCATCATCAACAGATAGATTTAAATGACGCATTATATAAGCAACAGCTAAAGCTGGTGAGCGACTGATACCAGCTGAAAAAACAAATCATTTATGAATAAAAAGAAACATAAAAAAAAACAAATGACAAACCTAAACAATGAATAAATACACGTCCATTATTAAGTCGAGCTTTTTCTAAAAAACAAAGAAAAGAAATTACGTTTTTTAAATCTGTATCTATAGGCATGGCAGGTATTTTTCTTTCATGAAAAATGTTTCATCACGTAATATTATTCATATCATATAGTAAAACATTTTTCATGGAGGGAAAACATCTGCTATAGGAATATTGTCTTTTCAGACAAAAACAAAAAAGAAAGTCACATTTACCAATAAAAGAAAATGCTTGATCAAAATATGGTAATAATTGTGCATTGAGACAATCATTAACAGGTATTCGAAGAAAATGTTCATCATCATTTTCATCAAGAAAAGGTGCTCGCTGTCCTGATATGCTTACATTGATAACATGTGTTATATGATGATCCTATAGAAAACGAAAGCGAAAAAGAAACAAAACACACATATGACTAGAGAACATAGAAAAATTGTTGATTTCTACCTGCATTACTTTAGTTGATAAAACATCTTCCTGTGAACCCAAATAAAGAAATGGTAAAATTTGCGAAGGACCAACATTTGGTGGTGCTGATGTTGCAAGACATTGTTCACTTGATGATCGTTGCGGCATATAACTGTTATTGAAAAACATCGGTTTTTTTTTTCTTTTATGTGAATACAAATAATAATGTATGAATTAAATTAAGCGAAAAAATTGATCATGCAAAAGACATTCGAAAACATTTACTCATTCATTCCAGGTGTATGTAATACTTCAACAAACGTAAATTATAACTCTATTATTCGTTTCTTTAATGAATCACTCATTCAAACTAAAATAAACTATATTAGACATATACACAGATGTTTGATGATGATTCATCGAATGCTTTTTTTTTTTGTTTCCTTTCAAGGAGGTGCTTGTTTTTTTTCTTTCGACGCAATTGAACTTTTTCGAACCAATGAAATTACTATCCGAATATAGATACAAAATTAATTGATCTTATTTTCAATTAGTAGTGTACAAAATATGTAAGATATTAATAATAGATAACAAGTCTACCTGTGTCTATTTAGTTTGATTACACCAATTGATAACTATTCCATATTTTACCATTCTGTATCCAACAAATTCTTATGAGAACAAAAAAAAATATTGTGTAAAATGAATCAGTACCTATTTTAGTGTTCGAGGTAATTAAAAATATACGCAATATATCTTAAAATCTCCAACATACTCGAATTTGTGAAAATAAAATGACTGTTAAAATTAAATTTAAATAAAAACTGCGTTATAAAGAAAAATTTTCACAATCCTGAATTAGCACTGAGTTTTATTCCTCAGAATAAAGTTTTCGATCTCAGAACATTTACTTCAATTTAAGAATTCTAATAATTTAGTAGCTATACGTACAAAGCAATTTAGAAAAAGAATTATCCAATAATATCAATTAAAACTTATGTTTAGAGAATATAAACTGCACAAACAGTGTTTTACCGAACAAAAACTATCGGCAAACCGTTCGACATAATAGGCTATTAGCGTCAACAGGTGATATCATGTTTACGCGAATTAAGCTTTGTTTTCCTCTTTCATCACATAGATGCTACATTGACTGTTGACTGGCGGTAGTGCGACATGAGCGATACTCATCCGAAGATTAGATTGATTTTTCGAAATTTTGAAATCATTTCGCCATATTCTATACGTCTGAACTCACAAAAATAGATATTCGTTCTTTCAGAGTTGTGTATCATGATTCCGCATGGGAGAAGAATACTGTATATCAGACTAATATTTGGTATGTTGATAGTAAAATACTGATAGATGTGATAAGGAAATTACTGTATCAATTCAAGATGCTAATGAAAATTTTATTTTTGAATAACTCACAAGTCCATATAAAACTTATAATACTTATAAAAGATCATTTTAGAGGTCAAAATTTGCACTGATTCTAATTCTAAATATCTTGATTTATTACCATGTTATTGAATGAAAGAGACAAAATTGAAAAACGAACATATCCAATGAATTCAAAGCATAAATCATGAATAAGCAAAGTGTCATTTGATGCACCGAATGACAAGCTGCCGCATATTTCAATTGTTGATAAGGAAGATGTCCTGGTTGAACTCTAAAAAAATTGCTTCAATGAAAGTATCAATATTGTATAACAAGTGCATATAGATATAACTCATCATCTTTATCTACCTAGTGCGATAATGAAAAGAGATCTGTAGAAGGCAACAGTCATAAAATAAAACTTCGAATAGATAGTCTCTTTCGATATTCCGAACGTATATTAAATATCCAATCAACATCTCATTTAATAAATACCCAAGATTTGTAGAGATTGGAAATGTGTGTCATGCAATTTGAATTATCAAATATTTATAGTCGAGAAAAATTCGCATTTCGATTCCTTCTTAGTATTATTATTCATTATTTGTTGATATGATTTATTATACAAAACAGTTGGTTGATTACTATGTCTAGCGTGAATAATGTTTTCATCATTGTCAAAGGAAATACAGTACTGCGAAGATAAATAAAACATTCTGATTTCAAAAAAACAAAATTATATGTTTGATTAATTTTTCTTTCATTACATTCGGAATCCGGCGCTGTCAAAATCGTCTGCGATAGGAATTTTCTTTAGTTGTTTGATGCATAGTTCGATAGTTAATTGTTGTGATCATCCAGCTTTTATTGTTTTTTCTGTATATGTTTTCAAATGAATAAGACCATAATTAGAAAGGAATATCCGCTCTATTTTATATCAGACGATGTTATTTTAGTAGTTATTATATGTGAATAGACGCGTGAAAAGGCATAATCCTTCCATTTATTTGCTATTACATATGTAATCATCATTTTCAAAGCCATATTATTGTGCATTATAGTTGTTTTTTGTCAGTATCAACGAATCTAACTTTTGTAAATCCAAATAAACATTTATATTTATATTATAAATCATTTATTGATTGTGTTGCATGTATGTCATCCTTTATGTTTGTCTGTTTTACGAAGGAACCTACGATTTGTGCTTTGAAAGTACTATCTCATGTGACCAAAATTATCTGCTTAAAATAGTTTCATGACTTTATGTTAACATTAGTTTTCTTTTTTTTCTTTTTGAAGTACATGCCCTCACGTCTCTTCTGATTCATTATCAATTTGTTTATGATAGTGATAATTTTGATTCTGATAAAATAGAATCTATTCATGTAATTTAATAACAGACGAAAAATAAATTGAATATTTTTTATTACTAATATGTGGAAAATTTCATATTATGTGTCATTAGCTTAAATATTTTTGTTATTTTTTGAATGTTGAATATTTTTATATCAATATTGTTTCAATAAAATAGTTTGTTCAAAAGTTTAACGAAGGAATAGATTTTTATTTTTTTTTAAACTGTTTTTAACAGATTTTCAGAGTTTATTATACATATAAAAAATGATCACAAAAATCTTTTTAGTTTTCTTCATCTTCATCATCAGTCATATCAGCCATAAAATCTTCTGATTGTTGTAATCCAACAATTGATTGTTGACTCAATACTGTATATGTCGTATCTCCAAATTCTGTACTCGTAGTGTTTTTATCGTATGTCGTACTGATCTATCGAAAAAAAAACAATTAATAAATTTTCATATTTCACTTAATTGAAATTGTATTTTCTGAAGAACTTACTCGTTGCTTAGGATTAATTGGTGGATTATCTTCATCAAAATCAGGTTCTTCATCAATTGGATTTGTATTCGTTGCTGATGTTGATGGTGCAGGTCGTTTTTTTCCTCCTCGATTCGCGCCAGTTGTATTTATTGTATGTTGCCGATAAGAAACAAGATCATCTTCATCCATTGTTGAAGTATCACTAGAAGAATAATTTTGTCGAAATTCTTATTGACTAAATTCATCTTCATACTTTACATTTGATTGACTCATACTAAAGGATGCATCAACTTCACCTTCTCGATTGGCAATAGTAGCAAATACAAAAGTACCATCAAAATAAAATTCTTCTGCATCGAAACAAAAAATAATTGGCCTATATAGAATAAAAAAAAATTTTTTTTAATTCATAAATAATATTAAATGATGACTGAAAAGTTTCTTTCGGCAAGATGTTTATTAACTTTTGACTTGCTAGAAAGGATTTTCCACGAACGTTCTGAAAATCCTTTGAACATGCTAAAAATTGTCGGAGTCGCTCGTTTTGTAGAGTAAATACTTCTCTACGAAATATGTTATTGAACTAAACTATAGCATTTACTCAAGCGAGGTTACAAACATTTTTTTGAAGAAGGTCTTTCAATGTAAAACGATTTTCCATTCACAGTAATATTTTGTCTTAATAAAGATAATTTCGCTATTCTCAAACAAAAATTGAAACAAGATCTTTAAGTCTATATTCAAAAAATGAGTATAAAATTCTAATTTTTGATTTGTAAGAAATAGTTTTCTAGTGGTTTACAAGCAAATAAATAATTTGTTTAGAAACTTTCCGATCATCCGTTTAATCAATAGCTGATTATTTACCGTCCACGACTATCGAAATATATTGTCATAGGTAAATTGAGTAAATCAGCTAAACCTAATAAGAACTGAAAGAAATATATTTTTTTATTTTTGTTAGAACAAAAAGAATGTAAAAAATAGAACGATTTACTTTAAATTCTCGTAGACAAAATGTAATATCTGATTTATATTGTATATCATAACCAATAAATTCTCTTGGTTCACAAACAACTTGAAAATTCATACCATAAGCAACACTGTCATCTAGATAACAATGAAATTCTTTGAGTGATTTTTTTCTTGTTTTTTTTTTTTTCTTCTAAATTTTACCAACCATCATGAACAATTTCATCACATTTTTTAATAATAAATTGATCTTTTGTTGCACGAATAGTTATTTCATCCCATTTAGCTGGAAAATGAGCTGTTAAATCTTGTAATGTTTTACTCATAATTGATACACAATTTTTATATGATTGTTTATCAAAACGTGCTTGAAGTTTTTCACAATCAATATAAAAACATGAATGAACTTTAATAATATCTATCCATGAGTAATATTTAGAATAAAAATCTCTAAATATTTTTTTATTTAAAATAAACTTACTATATCGACAATGAAGTGTAAATGATAAATTCGATTTTCGATCATCGAAAACAAGCTCAAGTCGTGTTAATTTACTTGATAAAACAGCCTGTACTGCAGACATACATCGCTAAATAGAGAAACAAATATATTTTAATATAAAACAAATAGTCACTGCAGTTTTTCATGGAACTCAAGCATGAAATTGATTAAGGCATAAAAACACAGAAGCAATAAGGAGTTCTAAATAACGATTGACGGAGTGACTTTTTGAACTTCTGCCTCCGATGATATTTATTCTTTTGATTTCGGTCCAAGGGGGAAGGAGCGAAAATGCCGTACTTCAGCGTACTTCTTGTACTTCCAGACTATGTGATAACTGTGCATAAGATCTCTTTAGCTATTTCAAGTCTACTATCAACCTGTGTTACGGTATATTAGCCGGAGTCCAGTCTACGTAAGTCTATCTGACAAAAAAGCCCAAATACTTCACGGTACTTCCAACTTTGAAGTACCGTGAAGTATTTGGGCTTTAGGGTGAGATTGACTTAAGTAAGCTGGACTCCGGCTAATATGCCGTAACACAGGCCGATAGTAGACTTGAAATAGCTAAAGAGATCTGATGCACAGTTATCACATAGTCTGGAAGTACAAGAAGTACGGCATTTTCGCTCCTTCCCCCTTGTCTCGGTCACTGTCCGGTACTGGCAAACTTTCAAACTTTGAACTCTTATATCTCGATAAAAGAAACAAGCTTGATCAAAAATTGAATTTTTTAAAGTCAATTCGAAGTTGTATTAGTTCATCTTTCGATACAAAATAAATTCTTCATAGTAGGAATTGTCACTTAATTTCAGTATTTCAACTTTGTCGAAATATGAACCTTTGCAAAAATGAAAACAGAAAGGGACGCCTGAGGAGATTTCTGTGTGACCGTAGTTACTATACACAAACACACTAGCATTAGTGTTCACTGCAGCATTGAAACGCAGTGCTATTAAAAAAAGATATGTTGTTGATAAAGTTATTGTCTCAATGTCTTAGCAAACGCGGATACTGATGTAATCAGTCTGCTAGTTCGGTAACTCATTATCAATATTTCAATATCTACACCAACATTGCACATCCTCAAGTTGACGTAATAGAATGCTTCTTGTGTCATTAGAAAGATGTTTCGAGTAAAATATGACTGAATATAGAATTTATACTTTAGCTGAAATTCGACATTTAAGTTTTTCTTTTTGTAAATCATCTTGTGGCCATTCTTGAAAAAACTCTCGATAAAATGTAATACATGAATATGATGATCGTGATTGATTTGCTGTACGAAAACTTAACTAAATAAATCAAGAAATAAATTCAAAAAAAACAAAAATCTTTCATTTGAAATATCATATTCTATTTACACCACTCGTTTTTGTTATTAATTCAATATAAATTTCTTCACCGAGTTTTGTTAAAACTTGTAAAGCTTTACCAAAATCTATTTGCATGAAAAAAAAAATTTCATATTAAATATTGTTCAATCATTTCTCTTACGTCGAACATGTTCCGGTGGAATAACAAAAAGAAATTTTTTTTCAGTCATTATCTTAAAATAAAAATGAAGTTTGTTTTTTTTTTTTTTTCTTTTATTTTTTTATTTTACATATAATCATTATGGAAAGAAAACTAGCATGAATTATAGAAGACAAAAAAAGAAAATAATTAAATGATTATCATTTCTTTTTCAAGCAAGTGTCGATGATTCTTGACGACGTTTAGCAACATAGATACGATGATTGGCACATGCAATACAATAGACAAATTGATCATCAGAAACTAAAAAAAAAGAAATTATGAGACTATGAAACAGTCGATGAGAAAACTCTGTCTTTTTTTTTCTTGTGGACTCAAGACATTGATATCTGAAACCCACAAGTCTAAAATTTCATTGTTCAATACTCTTTCTTTCAAAAGTTAGCCAATACAGACTTTTTACTACAATCAAACTCCTATGAAAAAAAAAACAGCATAAAATATCCTGTAAAATTTGTAGCACTCTATTTCCTTCTTTTGAAAAATCATCAAAAGTCATTATGTAAGAATTGCGTTTCACCTCGAAAGTATCATATTGTTTTACCATTTTTCTAGAGAATAAATTGTCGCATAAATAAAATTCAGTTTTGAAACCTTTGATTCTGAATCTTGAAAGAAGATTATTATCGAATGGACATTTTAGGCTTGTCTAAATAGTCATTTTCCAATTATAATGGTCTTATAAAACTCGAATCAGTCAACATTGTATTATATTGAAATAGTTTCTTTCGTTCAGTTCTTTATTCTCTATCTTTTAGTATAATTTATAAAAATTTAAATGATTCGTTGAAAAAAAACACAAATTTTACAGGATGTTTTAGATTATTTCTTTCTTATAAGGATCGAAGAGAAAACATCAGACTTCAAGATCTCAGCGCATATTACAAGCTGTTCGTGCTAATCATGTGGAGATTGTTTTATTCTATGTGTCTTAGGAAGCATGTTTCACAATCTTTTTAATAAATTCTTCAGAAATGCAATTTCTATCCTATACTTCATCACTCTCTTTAGATCGTGTTTCACAAAAGCTATAACTCAAATTTTGAAAAAAACAAAGGGTATTGAATAGTTCAGTTTTCCGATTAGTGGTTTTCACACATCGATAGTCTTATGATTGCCCTTCAAAGTATTCGATTGATTAATTTAACCTGTGAATCGTTTAAATGCTAATTGTTTTGTTGGATGTACGCTAACTTTAGCAGCACATAAAACCATTTTATAAATTAGATTAGCTGCTTGTTCATTATTTTGTAATTCACCATGACTATGTTCAACTGAACCATCTTCATTCATAATAAGATATCCAATACAATCAGGAACATTATCAAATACTTTATTTATTGCTGTACTCATCTAAAATGATAATAGATCATAAAAACAAAAACAAAAAACAAATTATTAATTAAATTTTTGTTTTTGTTTTTATTTTAGTATTCAACAATAAAATTATAATGTCATCCAATTACGTATATGTTTATTTGGATGATTATTACTAGATAATAACCATTGTTTACTATAATCTGGATTCATAAGACCAAGTAAACCACCTGTATGTAAAAATAAAATATTTTTTCCATCATTTGGAAATCGATCAGTACGTTTATTTCGTAATTCTTCACATAAACCCCATAAACATTTACCTGTATAAACAGGATCAAAAATAATTCCTGTTTCACTTATAATATTATTTAAAAAATCTATTTGTTCATTTGTCATACGACCATAACCTAAACCAACATATGAATCACAAATATCAACAAGACTATCATTATCAACTAATTTAATTAAATTTTCTAATTCTAATTGACTAAGAATTGTATTAAAATGTTTTTTAAAATAATTTTGATTATCGGATACAGCAAATGCATGAATACGTAAACGATTACCAGTAAAATAATTTGCTAAAGCAAGTCCTTCCATTGTACCACCACTACTTACAGGTACAATAAGATGACCAAGATTAAATTTATCAATTAATGGAACTATTTCATGTATAAAACAGTCCAAGTATCCAAATATACCAATTATATCTGATCTATATATAAAAGTAATATATAATAAAATATAATAATAATACAAAAAAAGGATTTACCCTCCAATGGGTATTGAATAACATTTATCTTTTCCTCCTAATTCATCTTCTAATTGTTTCATTCTTGGTTCAATATCACGTTGAATATTAGCTTTTTTTGGTATTAAATATAATTTAGCACCTAATAAATAGCTTAAAAGTGGATTGCCTTGTAAAATTTGTTCATCTTCATTATCACGATCAGTTCGAAGTAGAAGATGAGTTTGTCGTTGAAATTGTGTAGCAAGTATAGATACAGCTTTACAATGATTACTATGTAACGAACCAGCTGTTATTATATGATGACATTTTGGATGTGAAAGTATATCAGCAAAAATAAATTCAAGTTTTCGAAGTTTATTTCCACTTGAATATGTATCAAGTTGATCATCACGTTTAATATAAATATTAACTGATGGTAATGAAGATAAACATAATTTTTCTACAGATGTTTCACGTTTGATTAATGATAATCGATATTTTGGTATAAATTTAGAATTAATATATTTACTATTAATTGGTATTGAGTATGTTTTAAGATGAGATGATATAGAAAGTGTTGATAATTGGCGATACATACATAAACAAGAAAGAAATAAATCTACAAAAAAAATAGAGATTTTATTTTCATCTATATTTCAAAATATAATCGTTTATTCTACAATCTTCAAGAGAATATTTGACTATCTCATGTAATTTATTTAATATGAAAGATATTGAAAGCTTTTCTATACTATCGATTGATCTGAAGCAGAGATGTCCATCGCGGCTCAAAATCTGCCGCTGCCGCGCCGCGGCCAAAATCAAACAAAGCTGCCGCGCCGCTCCCGCGACGCGATGGCCTGTTAAAAAAAGCTACCGCGCCGCTGCCGCGCTGGTATTCGAAAAAATGTTTTGATTTTCAAGGCTTTGACTGGTTTGAAATAGAACTGATGCCGCTAATCGATCAGATTCGCTAAGTCTTACAGTATAGCATACATAAACATGCAGATTCTGTGCAAATTCATGAATTTTTGAAATTTTTTCCTAAAAAGCTGCCGCCGCCGCGACGGCAAAATAAAAATCTCTCCCGCGCCGCGATAGTTTTTGGAAAAAATCTGCCGCTGCCGCACCGCCACCGCCACGGCGGCAGCGGCAGCGGCACGATGGACATCTCTGATCTGAAGTGCTATTAACAATGAACGAAAAGATAATGTACAGTCAGAAGTATTTACCGGCGGCGAAATTCTGAAACGGACGAACCACACAGTAGTATCTTCAAAAAATTGATTTGCAACATCGGAAACTTTTAAAAATCAAATATCTAGTTTTATGTCACGACTAATATATCTTAAAGATTTCATAAGTTCTATAAATAAAAAAAAAATCTTTTTGTTTCTCATTCAAATCTTTAAACATAACAAAAGAAAACCAACTTAAAAAAAAATGTTTTCAAAAGAATGTGGAAAACAAATTTAAATATAAAACTAAAATTAAACTATTCCTGTTTATTTTCTGCTAATCGTTGTCGAACTTTCTTCAAATGAATACGTATTTCATCAGCTAATTGTTCTCGTGGAATAACAAACTAAATATTTGAAAATATTTATTATTAGAAGAAAAAAAAATATATAATCTAACCTCATTTCGAGTAATAACATCACGAATTTTAATTGTACCAGCTTCTAATTCTGAACTACCAATAATAACACATAATTCAATTTGATTTTTTTCACAATATTGTAATTGATCAAGTAATTTTGGATTATATTTATATGCCATTTCTGTCTATAAAAATTAATAAATTTATTTTTACAAAAAAAAACATAACAGTAACATATATATAATCAAACTTTAAAACCATTGTCCCATAGATAAGTACATAATTTCATTCGTTCTTCTAAGAAATTCTTTTCTGCTGATGCTACATAAACTTCAGTTTCAATTGTTTTTGATTGAAGTTTTGATTGCTATGAATAAAATAATAATATAGACAAATATATATTATATATATATCTACTACTCTTAATTGATGTTCTTTGATAGAAAATATTCTTTCTACACCAATACTTAAACCAATACAAGGTACACGTTTTTGTTTAGGATCAAGTTTTTCTACAAGTTCATCATATCTTCCACCACCAGCAACACTTCCAACAGCTATTTGATCATCATCTAATTGTGGATTATATTGATATTGTGTAAGAACAGCTTCAAATATAACACCAGTATAATAATCTAAACCACGAGCTAATTTTAAATCAAATATAACCTAGAAAGAAGTTTTGTTTTTTTTCTGTGGTTAATAAAATAATACTTGAAAATTTAATTATTTTTGTTTTACTTTATCCATAATGTTAAATAATGTTAAATAACGAAACAATAATTCAAGATCATTTAGAGCTTCGATAGCTAATTTTTCAGAAGATAATTGTGGATCATTACGAAGTTGTTCAATTAGATTAACATTGCCTTAGATAAATAAATTATACAATACTAGTTAAAAATATAAAAGACAAGCATTCAACTCAAATTCAAATAGTAGCCAATAAAGTTCTCTATGAAATGTATTTCATACCAAAATTTCATAAAAAAGTTATAAGAGAAAAGCTTTTAAAAACCTAAACACAATAGTTTTCAGGTACAATAAGACTATGTGAAAATTAGTTTTGAACCGTATTATCTTCAAGTGTACAGAATTCTAAATACAATGAGAAGTTCTTAATTTTCACACAAGCTTCAGGAACTTAAAAACTACCATGTTTGACTTTTCAAAATCTTCTATTCATAGTCTAAATTCTTTTATGGAATATATCGGACAGAGAACTTCAGTAGCTATTACAATCTAATCAAAAAAAAACATCGAGCTTATATTTTTTATCAGTACTATAGTAAAGGATCATTTGGGACACAGCATTCGAAGAAAGCGCTTGTTGATCAGGTGGATCTTTCGTTCGATAGGTTGCTGACTATGGCGTGACATACATCTACTCTTGTGACGAGTCAGTATATATGAAGAACTCAAGTAGATGAACGAAAGATCTCTGTATCAAGCTGGCTTTCTGCCCAGAGCTACAGCTAGAATTCCTCATAGAGAAGATATTGGATTATTGAATCTATTGCTATGTAGTCGGAACAAGTGAATATTCTGTCTTTCATCTATTATATACAAATTCCGAGAATGTATTTGATAGGCTCTACATTTTGAATAATTTAATCAATGAAAATTGATATACCATGCATATGAAGATATCGACTAATTTTATCGACTATTTCCGGTGATAAACCTTTTTCATTTATCATTTCATTGCGAACAATTTCCCATGGATTCTACAATAGTAAAAATAGATTTCGAAAAAAAAAACATATACAAATTTTTAATTACTTTATCAAGTTTATCAACAGTTGTACTTAATGAACGAAAAAGTTTATTTGGTACACCACATACAGTGAAAATAGCATCGAGTAATTTACGATGATTGATCTAAAAATAATAAAAACTTGATTTATTTTTTTTTCTAACTGTTACATAAATGAATTCTAATCAATTTACATAAATTTTATATTGTCCTAAAGCAAGTTTATCAAGAATTTCTCCAACAATTTTAATACATTCAGCATCAGGTATCATTGAATCATAATATCCAGCAATATCAAAATCACATTGATAAAATTCTCGATAACGACCACGTGTCATTTTTGGATTATCAAGTCGATAAACTTTTCCTATATGATAACGTTTCATTGTAGAAATTTTATTTTGTGAAATATAACGTGCAAATGGTACAGTTAAATCATAACGTAAAGCTAATGTTTCTTCATTATCATGATTTTTTAATTCATAAATAAGTTTAGAATCTTCACCATATTTTTCTTTAAGAAGTGTCTAATTTTTAAAGAAAAATGAACATTACAAAACAAAAAAAAAAACAAGAATCAAATAAAATTTTTACAGTTAATTCCATAATTGGTGTATCAATTGTATTAGCACCATGTTGTTTAAAACAATTGATTATAATATGAAAAACTTCTTCACGAATTTTCATTTGATTTGGATGATAATCACGAGTACCCTAAAGAAAAATATTTATAAGATATTTATGATATATAATAAAATTTTACTCGTGGTATTTTAAGAATTTTATCATTATTTGTTATATTTTCTTTTCTATTAATTAATTGATGATTAGATTGTTCTTTTTTTAATCTAAGTAATTTAGTTACAGTATCATTGATCTGAAAAAAAAAAAGAATATTTATAAGTTTGTTTCTTTTTTTCTTATTCTATTTACTTTTGATTACCTGACGAGATCTGATACGATAAAAAGCTTTTTGATAGTACAAACAAGTATTTAAAATTAGTCTCATGTTTTTTATTTTAATGAAAAACAAAACAAGAAATAGTTTTTGTTTTTTTTTATAAATAATATCTGCAATATGAAATGAAATCAATTGTATATTATTAAAAAAAAAATCCAATTGAGAAGAAAAATTTTCTTAGATAAGTTTTTTTTTTTGTGTATTTATTTGATGAAAGATCAGATGATTATTATTAATTATTCATACTTTTCATAAATGAAACATTAATAATAATAGAAAAAAAGATTAATTTGTTGTTAACAGAAAAATAACTGAACATTGGAAAGATAAATTAAACCAACACAGAACTTTATATAAGATAATTCTTTTTTTTCGAATTTCATTTGACAGAAAAGAACGAATTTATTATCGGATTTTTTAAAGATTTTTGAAATGAGGTCTATACTCTATAGTAATGGTTAATGAGAACCAATCAAATATATTTTAGAAGCGACGCGTATACAACAACACTGATCAGTGGTGATGGTGATGATGGTTGTAAAAAAGAACGAAAACGCGCATCGCTGCTCATTTAAATAAAAGGGAAGGTGATAGTCACTTGAAGTTATGCTTGATTGACTTATTGATGAGTTTACTTTTATCATTTTCTTTTTTCAATATTGAATTATTTCTTTCAGATTTCTTTATCGTTGTCTTGTTCTTTCGTTCTCTTGTTAGTCATAGAAATATTCATTTGTCCTTGTCTTCATATTTGTATACAACGCTTGTTTCATTAATGTATTTCATAATTGAATTGCTAAAAAGAAACTATATAATTTAATTGAATATTTAAAATCAATACAATTATTACTTTCTATTAATGATTATAAATTTTAAAAATCTTGAAATTAAATAATGACAACTGAAAAAGAAAATGAACTTGAATCATCATCTTTAACATCAGAAGAAAACTTATTGAAACTTGATACATTAACATTAGAACAATTTGCAATTCGATCCAATCAAACTTTATCATCTATTATTGAAAATACTACACAAATAACTACAATTGATTCAACATCATTAACAAATATAGAAAAAGAAATTAATGGTATAACAGATATAAAATCTAATCAAATATCATTATTAACAGATTCTAATCAAATTTCATCTATACATTATATTGATTCATCATCAATAGATGATCAAGAAACAAAATCATCATTATCTGATATAACAAATTCTTTAAATCGTAAAATATCATTATCAGAATCGGATTTACTTTCATCATTACATCGAAATATAAATAAACAACAAACAATTGATAATCAATCTGATAATGATATAATAGATGATATACTTTTTATTGAATGGGATAAAGAACGAAATTTATTTCAAGATTATATTAATTCATTACGTAAAGAAATTCGTGTTCTTTTACAAGAACGTTTAGATTATCAAACACAAACACATACTGAATTTAAACATATGAATGATCATCAAATAAAAATTGATTTATTACAAAAATCATTAGAAGAAAAAAATTTTATTATTGAACAATTACAAATTGAATATGAATTAATGAAAGAAAAAAATATTAATTTATCACGTAAAATATCTTATTTAGAATCTGATACAAAATCTCAAATTAATATTATTGATGAATTAAAACAAAATTTAACGGATTTAACTGTTGATTTACAAAATCATATACTTATTAAACGACGTTTAGAAATGTCAATTAATAATTTAGAAAATAATTGTCAACTTCTTGATATTGAACGTATTAAATTAACAAATGATGTTAAAGATAATCAACATAATAAACAAGATTTAGAAAAATTATTACAAAAAGCTAATGTACGAATTGCTGAACAAGGTAATCTTATTAAAAAGAAATTTAAACTAATATTAAAATTTCTTTTATCAACAAATACTATCATAAATATAAGTTTTCAATCGACTTTAGAACTCATCAAAGTCGTCATTTGTATTGTTTTTTCGAGCTTTATATCTATGCATATAGAGAAATACTCATAACAGAAGAAATAAGAATAGTGAAAACAGTAATAAAGTTATTCTTTCAGGTTTGTTACTCTCTTGTAATTCACATGATCATCCTTGACTATCCAAAGAAAGCGCGAACAGCTAACAAAAGTTAAACCTATATTGAAACAGTCAATGTATATCAGAGATGCCCATGGCGGCGCGGCAGTGGCAGGTTTCTTAAAAACTCATCGCGGCAGCGGCAGAGTTTTTAAAAGCTCATCGCGGCAGCGGTGCGGCAGCGGCAGCATTTTTTTTCGAGGACATTGAAAAACTGCATGAATTTAATAGAATTTCATTGTTTACAAATGAAACACCCCGAGACTGAATGAATCTGATGGACTAGTACCAATATTTCTGGTCCAATACAGTTGCAGCAGTGAAAATCGAAACACTTTTTTGAAAACCATCACGACAGCGGCAAGTTTATTACGCATCGCGGCGCGACAGCGGCGCGGTAACTTTTTTTTTCTAATGCCGCGGCGCGGCAGCGGCAGAGTTTCAGCCACGATGGACATCTCTGATGCATATAGGATTATTTGTAAATCTAGACATTTTGCCAAATACGCGATCATCCATAGCCATCTAGAAATATCCTCATGAACAGCCAACACCGTTCAGGATCACCCAAAACAAAAATTTCAAAAAATATTTTTAGCTGCCAGGAACTCAGCATAGCAAATTTTCTGACTTTTTTGAATGATCATGAATGGTGATATCTGTTTGTGTACACCTTGGTTTTATATAATCGTACGACTCACAAGAGCTCAAATTTGAATCTTGAGTTCGAGTGTTTAAATAAAGGTCCGTATTCGATTTGAATATTCTCACTTGATGTACTTCAGTGGATTGCTATAAATACTTCAATCTTTTGTATTGAAAATTTTAGGTTCAACAATTGAAATGCTTCGTTCAGAAAATGTTCAAGTACGTTCACAATTATCAACAATTCAACGTCGAATGTTTCAAGAAAAACAACAAATAATGGATTATTTACGTCAAATTGAAGATGATCTTATTGAAAAAGAACGACTTAAACAACATGAATTATTATTACGTCAAGATTATGAACAATTACAATTAATTAATAAACAAGATCAATATGATATTCAACAATTAAAAAATTCTATTTATGAAGATCAACAAACATTAGAAAAATTACAACAAGAATATTCACAATTATTAAAAATTAAAGATAATGAAAAATTTCAATTAGAATTAGAATTAAATAATTATAAATCAGAAATAAAACGTTTATATTCACATTTTAATATAAATATTGATTCAATTGAACAATTAATACCAATTTTAGAAGATCGATTATTACAGGTTTCTAACTTATTATTAAATTTTTCAGAGAGCACCCAACAAGAGATCTTAGAACTGAAATATCGATCAAAATTTTAATTTTTAATTTTTTTTATATGTATTCACAAGGTCATTATCTAAAACCTTCAAACCTAAATTTTGTCCTATTTCGTTTTTTTATGGAAAAATTATCCTTGATCGACTTTTCAACACCACCTATCTACTGTCAACAAAATAATGATTAATTATATCATAAATGTCTACGGGGATAAATACTTTCACAAGTCAGAGAATTGTTTTATGTAATATATCAAAAGATAGATCACTAAAAGCTAGAAAAAAAAATGAGTTATTTAAAATATTTTTTATGCCATTAATGTATTTACCTTCGAGGCAATTTGAGATTTATATTATCAATAAACAAGAAAACAATCTTGTACATTTTTCAACAGCCTTTATTTCAAATGAAGAACACAGAGATTTCGATAAGAAAATTTTTTTGTGCAATCAGATAATAATCATTCATATCGATAAAATATCAAATACTGATCCTAGACCCTCATTATTAATTGTAATTTAGTAGTATAGAGTTAACCTTCGATATCGTACATTTATTATGAACCTTCTAAATCTACATTAAACGAATGCTCTATGTACACTACTAGATAACGATTGATAAGGAATTTCAATTCTATAGCTGTCATCAGAGTTCTATGTTTTATCAATGTAGATGATTATTATCTGATTTCGTAATAGAATATTTTTCGTTTTTTCAACAATTCAACTTGACGTTATTTGATTTCGAAAAATGATAGTAAGTATTTATGAAACAATTAAGCACTATTTTATTTGATAGTGAATAGATAGATGATGTTGAAAAGTCGATCAAGACTAATTTTACTATGAAAAATTTTAAATTTTGTATACTGTAGTGTTTGTAAACAATTTAAAACAAATGTTTCTTTAGACTTCTCCTATATCATCAACATCAGAATTCAATAATGAATATGAACAACTTCGAAAAGATTTTGAAAATTTAACTATTCAATATAAACAATTAGATGAAGCTAATCAAACATGGAAACTAAATCAATTAAGAACATTACATGATCGATTTAAATTAGATAATACTAATAATTTATCATTTGATGATACTATACAACAAATTGAAAATCGTTTCAATGATTTACAAAATCAATATAATACAATTTTTAATCGAGTCATTGAATTAGAAGGTTTATTTTATGATATCAAAAAGTATATTAATAATATTTCTTGTTTTTTTATTATTATTTAGAAATAAGTACGAAACAAACCGGTGATAATAATATTCAATCAATTGAAAATCAACGTAATGATGAACTTCAACAATTACAAGAACATATTGTAATATTAACAACTCAATGTGCTCAATTTGATGAAGCTAATCGTGCATGGCAACAATTTCAACAAGCTCAACTTGATAATTTTCGAAATAAATTTAAACATATTTTATTTATTGATAATAATTTATCACTTGATCAAATAGGACAATTACTTATTGATTTTATTCAAAAACAAGATAAACATTCCGAAATATTATTATCCGATTCAATAAAACAAATACATATGACACCATCTGAAGAAGAATCTATTCAGAATCTTATATCTGTTCAATCAGCATCATCATTTATCGATAAAGATATTGAAGAACTTCGTCAACTTCTTAATAATAAATGTACTGAACTTGATGAAGTTAATCATGCATGGAAACAATTTCAACAAGATCAAATTCAAAATTTTAGAAATCAACTTCATGATTATTTTACAATAGATGAAAATCTTTCATTTGATCAAATACCTCAACTTATTATTGATCAAATTACTAAAGATCGAGATGATTTTAATCAACAATATGAAATATTACAAAAAACAAATGATGAACTTCGATCAGGTTTATTTATTTATTTTTT